GCGCAGCGCCAGTTGGTTGAGAGCGCCCAGGTCCAGGCTGCCTTTTTCGTATGCAACTGAGGCAGGCCCTGGGCCAGATACGCAACATGGACCGAACACAGGCCGAGGACAGTTGGACAAGGGCAACTACCAGAGGGCCAGGGCCTGATTCGTTTGGATTGGGGCATAGCCTCTCTGGGCCTACCGGAAGCTTCTGGGCAGGGGCCCAGCGCAGCCAGGCATCACGCAGCAGGCAGGCAATTTCCATTTAGGAAAGTGTCTGCCCAACGCATTCCTCATTCGGGCACTGGCTGCATGCTGCGCAAGCGCTGCTGCGTTAGACGCTGGCCAGCGCTCACGCGCTCAAGGGCGAGCTGGATGAGCAGGCAGCCATAGCTGAGCTGCGCTGCTGTATGCTGGATGGGGCACATTGTCGTCCTTGGGTGCACGTGGCATCTGTGAGTGGGGGATCGAGGTTGTAAGTGATACGAGAGACATGCCTGGTGCTTGAGGCGGATGGCATTGGCCGAGATCTGCTCGTACTTCGGGGAGCTGTTGACATCACCAGCGGCATTGTAGATAGGCTAGATAGGATCTGCCATTTGTAGTCTGCGTGCAGAGCGCCAGATAGGACGTTGACATTGGTTCTTTGTTGATGATGATGAGACTATTCGAACATTGTCACTTATGAGCTTTTGCTGTGCTCTTATTTGGTGGGACTCGTGATGCAATTCTGCTTTTGGTTCGAGGTCACGACTATCTGGTCTCATGTGTATGATGCTGCTTGGTTGTCTCATGTGTATGATGCTGCTTGGTTTCTGAAGTTTGCTATCGCTCATTTTCCTTGCACTTGAGCACTGGGTTGGTAATAATAATTCTATTTGAAAAGAGAAAGAAGTAAACAAAACAGGGGTGAGGGCACTGAGGGGTGGTACATCCTTCGCACGGGAAGTAATCAATGCCGTCCACTCGGGCCTTCGCACCATAATGGGCAGGAGCGTGGTGCGAGTACACGATGAAAGCTTTTTGACTTGCCGGTGGAGTAGCAATCGGACTGATGCTCCCCAGAATGGATGAGGAGCCGGATCCATAGGGTTCTTTTTTTTTTTTTTTTTTTTTACGAAGTAAACAAAACCTTCTTTTTTTTTAAACAAAACACCAGATTGAAGTAAACAAAACTTACAAAAGAGATAACACAAAGTGAAAGCACAGTGCAGACACTAACTTGAAACTTGACTAACGGGAACATCGACCACATGAGCCTACAGCTCAAGTGGTACACCCATGAACCGCTGAAATACGGACCCAAGTTCAAATCCAGATGCAATCATATGAACAGAATAAACATTTAATATACTGAATTAAATCATTCTGAATAATTCTGAATCAACTGGGGCCGCTCACTGCTGGTAATTCACTGACAGTACATTCACACGGGTGTATGAAGCAACGCAGTTGCAAGTTCAAAGATCCATATAGATATGGGGACCCAAGAGCTCTGTTAAAGTGGACAATGTCTAATGCAGCCCTAGACCGATACCCTAACCCTAGACCGCCGCCCTGCATTGCTATTTGAAATTGCAA